AGAATCAAGCACCGTCTTTCCACTATAAAATAAGGGGACACACTATTTAAGGCTGTACTTAAATTTGCGTACATGTACTACATGTAGCTGTTTGCACCAGGAAGTACCTCCTTGTACAGTTATTAACTTAAATTATCTAAAAAGTATAGAATAAATACTACTGGTATGTAGCTACTGATGTCGAGGATTACTACCGACTTCAGGCTGGAAAAGAAATGGATGGCTGAATGGAGTCCAAACTAAAATGAAGTATTCGGACCCATTATAGAAAAGACGCTACACTAGGAGACATCTCATAGAAATTTTACAGCAACACAAAGTTCATGAAATGTACACGAAAGTCTTTTTGCGAGAGGATAAGAAACACTCCCTAGTACTCAGCTACTAGTAGCAGAAGTAATATTCAGACATGCTTAGTGGAATCTGCCTACAAAACACAATTTTAGCATGTAAATTGTATACGAAATAAGAAAGAAAACCCCAGCCTGAAACGACAAGATGTACAGACCACTCTCAACTCGATACTCTCAAGAAAACGACAAGGAAAACACAGCCCAAAGTCAATTATTCTCGAGGTGAAAGGAGAAATTAAGCTCTACTCGGAAATTACGGAGAAAAGGGGATAATTAAGGAAAATTGCGTACAGTGGACGTGCAAAGCTTGCACGTCAAATGCTAAAGTTTTTTAGTCTTTCAACCTCATTTAAAGACAAATCCACAAAGATACAGGTCGTTGCACTGTACAAACAAAACTGTAACCAACAGGATAACAGACATGGAGAAGGCTAGCTAAACTATCGCTAACTATCTCAGACTCAACGAAAGGAAAATAATACAGGTGACAGTGCCAACCAAAGCAACGACCCTCATAATGAGCAAAAGCATGTAGGCCTTGGTAAAAAGAATGGAGCTCCATATTAATGACGCTGCCAGCGAGAAAAAGATAAGAGACGTGGAAGAGACAATAAGAAACTACACCTCCAGCTTAACAAAAGGAGATAACAGCAACGAGACAGACGTCTATCCCAACCGCGAGGACACCAGGTATCTTTCCCAATTAGCCCAGAGGTGTCATTGTCCAGGTAGGACCACCCCGAGGGTATGAATTAGGCAATATTGTCTCCCACTAACACAACGCATTAGTCCCTGGGAAACTACGGAAGAAGACGGAGACCAAAGCGCAAACCGAGCCTCAATTTCCCACAAACAATAAAGATTGGTAACATGCATGAACAACCAGGTGCTAGCTATGTGAATGAAGTTGTTTTCATATCACGCAGTTAAAATTTGAAAGGACAAAAATGTGGTAGTCTCTGCATAACATCTAACCAATCTACGTAGGTGTCCAACAAGGGGTTTTATCATTTTTCCCGTTATCCGAGAATTTCCTTCCCTCAGTGTTCCCCTTGTTTGCAGAACTACAGTAATAAAGCTCATCAGTAATGATTTTTTCTCGTTGAAAATTTTAACTTAATACTGCAGCCCTATTCCCTTTGCTCCGTAATTTCCGAGTAGAGCTAAATTTCTCCTTTAACCTCGAGAATAATTGACTTTGGGCTGTGTTGTCCTTGTCGTTTTCTTGAGAGTATCGAGTTGAGAGTGGTCCGTACACCTTGTCGTTTCAGGCTGGGGTTTTCTTTATAATTCCGTATACAATTTACATGCTAAAATTGCATTTTGTAGGCAGATTCTACTGTGCATGTCTGAATATTACTTCTACTACTAGTAGCTGACTGAGTGCAAGGGAGTGTTCCTTAGCCTACATGCAACAAGATTTTTGTGTACATTTCATGACCTTTGTGTTTCTGTAAAATGTCTATGAGATGTCTCCGAGTGTGGCATCTTCTTTTTATGATGGGTCTGCACATTTTATATTAGTTTAGACTCCATTCAGCCATCCATTTCTTTTCCGGTCTGTGGTGAAGTTGGTAATAATCCTCCACTATCAGTAGCTACATACCAGTTGTATTTAATCTATATCTTTTATATACTTTAAGTTAATAACAGTGGCTTTGACACATCTGAACTTGTCAAAGATGAAGGAACGAAAATTTGGCGTAATTAGAAGTACTACGAAGATAATTGCTGGAAACTTTTACTAAATTATACCAAGTACAATAGATTACATGAATAACAGCAGCGAAAAATCGAACGGAGTACTGTAGTATTTTGATCACTTTAGTTATAGATGCAGTAGGTGTCGCTGAGCTGTACGTAACACATTACGAGTGCATTAGCGAGCCAATTGTAATCTTAATTTATGGAATGATAGCTGTTAAAAAGTTGACCCATAGGTCTCAACTGAATCGAAACACTCTTTGTTTGTAACCCTTACCAAGAAACCTTAACCCAGACATAATATTGAATTCAGAAAAATGAGTCGAATGGGTGATATTACATAGTCATTATCATTGAAAGTAATACAGCAGAGAATGGTAGACAGAATTAAGGATAATGATCTATATATAATATTTAATTTTTGAGAAATATGTTTGGATAATATCAGGGCGATGGGTGCGTATTTATTTCAGGCGGGGGCTGGTGGTTTGGAAGTTGCACGAGATTTCACCTAACTGGATATTGTCCTGACTGCAAAAATGTTGGTAACATATAACATGCAAAAGAAAAATGAAATGGGTGGCCAACACAGGTATTAACTGCGACTTAGGGTGTGGGTTGCAAGCAGCTACGATGAAGTTAAGGTGAAATTATTAGATGTGTGACTAACTAGAATCCATGATCAAGTGCGCGCCATGTTTGATACTCGGATAAGTTAGGGACACAAAGATATAATTGAATAACTCAGCATGTGGACTGAGTGCAGTGTTAAACTTAACAGCATTTTTGGTCACCACAATAATCATAATATATTATACGCTTACTTCATAGACATGGAGAGTACAAACGAAACTATCCAGTCTGCGCAGCAAGCATATTATCATGTGGAATCTGTAGGTACGCCTGCATATATCCCTTAGCGTGCTGAGGCAGGCGGCGGCTGTGAGAAATTGTACAAATTAACGGCCTAGTAGCCTCTACATTTTTGTCATGCTTTTACTGTTGACAGTGTTTGCAAACCTTAAGACCGCAGGATGTAGCAAAATCGTATAATATTACTTTGCACAGCATAGTTCTTGTACGAACATTGTTCAGTAGATTGTTGTCATGAATATTAGTTGAACATGTTGTTTACCCCCTTTCCCGTTCACATTTGGTGATTTTATGAGGCATAACAATTATAAAGATATAAGTGTAACTAACTTGCTTGGATTTTTAAAAGTGCGTTTCTTTATTTTGACCACGTTGGTGCTGAAAAACAGAGGGCTGTACCGACAACGAATTGCTATTCAAACAGCAGCAAGGAGAATGTACAAAAACTTTGCTGACACTGAAAACTTTTATCTATCGTTTTTTTATGTTTTGTTATGTTCTTTTGTTTTCCCCAGCGCTTTTATTACCTGCATTTTATCCTGTTTATTTTACAGCAGTTGCAGTCGCTCTAAGCAATTAACGTCGGCTATGTTTGATCTGTTAAACGTAAATGGGATGTTGGCTTATAAAGTCTGTTCATTTAATTTAAATTTATTTATCTTATTTATTGTTATCCCGTTGTAAAAATGAACAACTGATCTAGGACCGCTTTATGTGATTGATTGCATCATGTTTTAATACATTTGTTATCCGACATTATTGAATGATGGCCCCAGTCCTATTGGCTTACAATGTCTCACAGTCTTATCTTAAAGGGTTGTTATTATACTATAGTTAAATTATAGCAATTTTTTTCTAGAAACAAACCAGTGCCTCTGTGAATGTCTGTGAAGTATGTCCTCTAGTACTGCCAGTCCCTCCCCCCAAAAGTATAATATCAATAAAAATAACCCGTCTTTATCAAGCCAGCCCTTTTAGCGTTAAACTTAAAAGCAGTTTTGTTCGCTACAATGATCATTATGCATTTTACACTACATGTAATATCATACAAATGGAAAGTGCCAACGAACTATCCAACATGCGATGGACACATTTAGAAACATTCTCGTCAAAGTAGGGTAGTTTTGCAATCCATTAATAGTCGAATAAATACTAAACCTAATGGCAGAGTCAGAAAATAAAAGCACCGATATATATCAACAATCAATGTAAATTTCAGTACAGTAATTATAAAGTTAAAAATTTAAAGTTTAAAGTTTAAATGTTAACTTTCCATGTTACACTAGTAATAAACTAACCCATTCATGTTTTAGTTTTTATTTAGGTGTTTTGAATGTCTCTGACACACATTAATATTTGACTGTTTGTATTGATTTTAAGGAAGGTTCAACTCTATGCTTAAGGTCATTACTTATTTTTGTGGACAACATTCTTGTGTGTATCAAACCGTGTTTCCTTCAATATTTTATGTGCAGTTTGTTTACTAACAACGCCTTACACAGGTTCAGGATAGAATATCTTCTGCACTCTGCCCAGAGACTGTTCTACTAATTCGGATAATAAATTATAAAGGTCAAAGCGCCAACAAGTAAGGCATATGATAGAACTACAGGCACATGTTATGACTGTCTGGTTATGTCACCATATCAGTTGGTCGTTTCGGGCATTATAGTAAATAAATCTACTTACTTGCTTTTTAAGAGATTTTGTCTTCTTGCATTTTCTATGTTAGGTCATTAGAGGTATATAGACTCAAAGCAACTTAAGTGTTGAGACATAAGTTAATCAGCTAATTCCAGATGAAGGGTAAGGATATTGTGATTGATTTTTTGGGGAATACAGAGTTAGATGAAATTAGATGCACCGTTACTTGCATTGAAATAAATTTCATTTGTTTTGATCCTCTGGAAAAATAAGAAAACTCAGCAGAGACCTTTTAAGATGATTGATTATATCATGTTTTAATATATTTGTTATCTGATATTCAAAATGAATGCTCCAGTCCCATTGGTTTACAGTGTTGCACGGTCCTTTGGTACTTACAGGGTTAAAGATACACTTCTGTTATACAGCAAATTTTTTTCGAATGAGAATCTTATAGTTCTGTGAAAATCTGAGTCCTTCACTTCCACTAAGCAATGTGTTTGGTGAGCTACATTGTTACCCACTTCACCAGCCAATGTGCTAGATGAGCACCCTTTTCACCGGACGGTGTATCATATGTTGTGAAATGTGTATTAAAATGCATTTGGGACCACCTGGCACATCTGAACACTATTATCTCTCTGCATATTTCAAAATACACCCCGTTTGATATCTGGATTCATTAAACCGACTTTTGACCGTGATCCTTTGCTGCCTTTTTACCCTTCATTCCTTGGTTTACACCATCCCCACTATAAAGTGTTGACGACCCCAACTACTATGTACACTTCAAAAGAAGGGAAAGATATACTTTGGAGAGTTCTGTTATGTCGTGATTTGGGTGAAAAAGCCAAACCCTAATAAAAAAATCTAAGCCATTAAGTGCACCTGCATCGTCAAATATTCATAATGTTGAGATGATTGTTTATGCCTTCAAATTTGTCGCATATCCAATATTAATGTATTAACATCAAGGCGATCAATAACACTACATTTAAAAGAAATGGGCATTGATAATATAGAGAAAGTTTACAAAACGCACAGCTTCGATATCGTTGTTGGTTGGCATCTTTATAAATCTTCACGACAGCAATCTAGTGGCGTAGATTTCATCCCGAGGCAAAAGATGCTTTTTAAAATATTTTTGTTTACATTTCTTGAACTGTTCACAACACAACAGAATGTCAAATATGCCTTTTTCGATGGTACCAAAGACGCCATTTTACCGTCATCTACAATGAAGAAGGTGACAGCCGAGAGCACCATAAGCTGTGCATTGCAATGTTCTCAAACAAAGGAATGCCGTTCATGGAACTACTATAAAACTAGGAACATTGGTAAGGGTCATATACAATATTGTGTTAATGCTGATGTTTTGTAAAGATCGAGTAATATTTTTCTTACAGTGACAGGAAACAAAGGAAATTGATTGTTGAAGGAGACAGTTTATAAATATATTCCCAGGATAAGTCGTATGAGAATCGTGCATTTTATGAACATTACCAATTAAATTAGGCAAATAGTGACGGTTTTCCTAATTAGACACGATTGCTCCAATTGATTTTCATTGTAGATATGTTGTCAAGATTCAGTGTTGTTATTTTTACAGAAAATTGTGTACTAAATTCCCTCAAAGCTCTCAACAGTGACATACTAGTACGTCATGACGGCGGGATCTATTATCAGGACGACAAGGTATGTAGTTCACATATAAACCACGTTAATTTTTTTAATCTTTGATGCAGCATCATCATATAAGACAAACCGTCATATTCTTTCTTTAATGAAGGATTCGTTTTCAAACAATATAGATAAAAGTATAAATCAATAGAATTGTTAGAAAGGTTAAAGCAATTGAATGTTTTTTCTGATTGAAAATGTATTACCAAGGTAAGTAGAGTGTATTCGTTCCCAAAATATAGAGAAAGCATAAATCGATAAGATAGTCAAAAGTGTTAAAGCAATTGAATGTTTGTTTTTTGATTGAATGTGTATCACCTCTTTACATTCTTGAAATCTTTTTACCATATTTCAGGATGAAATGGATTGCAATGATATAGGTAAGTTTGTAGCATTTAATTTTTTGTATGTAGCTATATAACAAAATTCAGTCACTTTATTGTCTTTGTCTGTATCCAAACATATTCCTATCTTCAGGGTTGAAATGGCTGTTGGTTTATTTTGGCAAGAAATATTGAATGGTGTTGCATAATAAAGAACTCGCGACAGTACTGATTTTGCTGTGGTAAATGACTATTAATTAATAAGGGTTCTTGACAGAGAAGAGTCTGTGTATAAAATGACACTTACCTACACCAATCGTTTCAAATTATCTCCTCTAAATGTTGCACACTGTGTTCATCATCTACAAAGTTTTTAAACAATCGCTAAGCAATGCGCTCGACCGCCTACACACACACGCACACACGCACGCGCGCCACAGCAATGAATTTTCCTACTTATTTTTATAGATGGTGCAGGAATGTTGCCTATCAAAATAGCAGGGTTTGGAACAAAAGAAGTTTATTGTGACAACGGGTGGCTTGTTTTGATGAGAAGATATGACAACTCAATGAAGTTTAACAGAAGCTGGAATGAGTATAAGATTGGTTTTGGGGATCCCCGCCTACAGTTCTGGATGGGCAATGAGGCCCTTTATGCGTTAACCAATCAAGGTGATTACTCCATGCTGGTTGATATGTTGTCCTGCAACGGCAATTATTACTATGTCAAATGGAACGTGTTTAGAATTAAAAATGAGACAATGAAATATGCTGTTGATGCCCTTAATCTCGAGTCCTACAACACAACGAGCACGACTGGACTGCTAGAAATCCGCGGACGTCCTTTTGGAACCACTGACGACACTTCTGCATACAGTGGTTACCTTAATGAAACGTGTGCTGAGCGTCACGGTAGGCAATACTTATTTTATCAAAAATAGATTAGAATGAAAATTCAGTAATTGAGATTTATGACCTTAAAGGGCGTATATAATTAGTAAAAATCATCAAAATTTTAATTATGCCCAATTTGTGTGCGCTTCTTCCTACATTTTGACATACAGATATTTTCATCACATCTGGGAGATGAATCAACAAAGTTGCAACATGATTGTCATCAGAATTCATGACCCTCTGATTGATTATATCTCCACTGTTTTCCTCGGTCAAAAATGCGCCATTAGATTATTTGTCAATATTCTGCTTACTCTTGACATCATTGGTCTAGATGTATTGCATTCAGACGTCACACAGCCAGATAATGATTTGTTATGTAATTTGTGATGGAGCACTATATATTTATTTCAGGTGGTGGTTGGTGGTTTAGTTGGTGCACTAACTTTCACCTAACTGGAAATTATCTTGATTGCAACAATACTGGTAACATACCTAACATGCAAAAGAAAATGAAATGCGTGGCCACCACAGGCATTAACTGTGACTTAGGGTGCGTGCTGCAAGCAGCAACGATGAAGTTACGGCGAAAAAATTAGATGTGTGACTAACTAGAATCCATGATCAAGTGCACGCCATATTTGATACGCGAACTAGTTAGACCAAGGATGCTGTTGATCTCTTTCACGTTTGGTGGCTTTATGAGGCATAACAATTATGATGATATAAATGTAATTTACTTGCTTTAAATTTTTGATATGTTGATAGGTGCTAAATAACATTGAGGGCTGTACCGACAACGTATTGCTATTTAAGCAAGCAGCAAGGAGGGTGTACGAAAACTGTATTGACACTGTGAGGGTTCCGTATACTTACTTTTATCTATCGTTTATGATGTTTTGATATGTTCACATGCTTTCCCTAGGGTTTTTATTACCTGCATTATACACTGTATATTTTATCGTAGTAGCAGTCGCTCTAGAAGCAATTTTAATGTCCGCTATGTTTGATCTGTTAAACGTACATGGGTTCTGATGTCTTATAATATCTGTTTATATTATTTATATTTATTTATCTGTTTATTTAAATAAATTTATTGTATTATAATACATAAAATTTTGTTCTATTTTGATATAATTGAATTAATGGACCTTAAGGTTTTATCTGCTTATCAGTCGGGAAAAACCAGATGTACGGTACATATTTTAGCAAGGACGCAGTTGTTCCAAATCAAACCATTCTGAAATATTCCAACTTTAACTTCAAACAGGATATGATTACTTTTGTTACATTTAATTGATGTTTGTATTATTTTTTTGCATTTAGCTGTTATTAGTGTGTTAATTAATTTAATTATTGACATTGTGTTCTAAAAAGGAAGAACTGAGCTGAGACCACTTAAGTTGATTGACTGCATCATGCTTTAATACATTTGTTATCCAATATTACCTAATGAATACCCAGTCCTATTTGATCACAATGTATCTCAGTCTTATCCTACAGGGTTGTTAATATACAAACGTGATATTATAGCATTTTTTCTAGAAACAACCCAGTGCCTCTGTGAAAGTCTGTGAAGCTTGTCCTCTAGTACTGCCAGCCCCCCCCCCCCAAAAAAAAATTCCAATAAAAATGACCCATTTTTATCAAGCCAGCCCTTTAAGCGTTAAACTTAACAGAAGTTTTGTTCGCCACAATGATCAAAATACATTGTACACTGCATGTAATTTAGATATGGAGAGTGCCAAAGTAACTACCCAACACACGTTGGATACATTCAGAAACATTCTCGTCAAAAGTAGAAATTTTAGCAACCCATAACTCGTTGGATAAATACTAAACCTAATTGCAGAGTCAGATGAAATTGCTTATTTATGAAAATAAAACAAAATTGATTTATATTAACTATCAAGATAAAATTCTAGTACAGTAATTGTAAACCAAAATATAAAAGTTTAAAATTTAAAAGTTCAAATGTTAGCTTTTAAACCTTTGCATATGCACTTGTAATAAAATCACTCATTTGTCTTTTAGTTTTGATTTAGGTGTTTCGAGTGTCTCTGGTACACGTATTAATATTTGACAGTTTGTATTGATTTTAGAAGGTTCTACTGTCTATGGTTAAGTTCATTACTTGCTTTTGTAGACAACATTCTTGCGTGTATCAAACCGTGTTTTCCTCAATATTTAATGTCCATTTTGTTTACTAGCAACACCTCACTCAAGTTCAGGAAAGATTATCGGCGCTGTTCCCAGAGACTGTTCTACTAAATCAAATAATCATTTATATAGGCCAAAGTGCCAACAAGAAAGGCATATGCTAGAACATTATATGACTACATATGTATCTGGTTATATTTCACAAGATCAGTTGCTCGTTCCGGGCGTTATAGTAAATAAATCTGTTTACTTGCTTTTTTTTGTGATTTTGTCTACTTGCATTATTTATGTGAGGTCATTAGAGGTATAGACCCAAAGGAAGTTATATGTTGAGACATAAGTATATCAGCTTAGTCCATCTGGAGGGTATGGATTTAGGTATCCTGGCGTTTAAATGATTGACCGTTTGCCTTTTTTTCTTTAGAATCACTTGTATTTTCAAAAGTGATTGATTTTTTGGGGGGAATACAGAGTTAAATGAAGAAAGATGTTTTCTATGCACTGTTATTTGCGTTGTTATCAATTTAATTTGTTTTGATCCCCTTGGAAAAATAAGACAACTCGGCAGATACCATTTAAGATGATTGATTATATCATGTGAAATATCAAATGAATGCTCCAGTCCCATTGGTTTACAGTGTTGCACGGTCCTTTTGTACGTACAGGGATATACAGCGACTTTTTTCTGAGGAGAATCTTTGTGAAAATCTATGTGTCCTCCACTTCCACTAAGCAACGTGTTTGATGAACTACTTTGTTCCCCACTTCACCAGCCAATGTGCTAGATAAGCTCCTTTTTCACCAGACGTTGTGTCACATGTTGCGAAATGCGTATTAAAATGCATTTGGGATCACCTGGCACATCTGGACACTGTAATATATCTGCATGTTTAATAATACATCCCGTTTGGTATCTGGATTCATTAAACCGACTTTTGACTATGATTCTTTGCTGCCTTTTCACCCTATATTCCTGGATTTACGCCACCCCCACAATAAAGTGTTGTCGACCCTAACTGCTATGTACACTTCAAAAGAAGGGAAAGATATACTTCAGAGTTATGTTCAGTCGTGAAGTAGGTGAAAAAATCCAAACCTAATAAAAACTTTAAGCCGTTAAGTGCACCTGCATCGTCAAATATTCATAATGTTGAGGTGATTGTTTATGCCTTCAAATTTGTCACATATCCAATAATAATGTATTAACATCAAGGCGATCAATAACACTACATTTAAAAGAAATGGGCATTGATTATTTTGGAAAAGTTAACAAAACACACAGCTTCGATGTCGATGTTGGTTGCATCGTCAAATCTTCATTACGCAGATGTGTGTTTTTATGCCTTCAGTTTTGTCACATTTCCAATAATAATGTATTTATATCAAGGCGATCAATAACACTACATTTAACAGAAATAATGGCTAAATACAACAGATAACTCAAGTATATATTTGCTGTATAAAGGGACCATATATTACTGAGCACACATACGGCATTAAAGTTAGATGGTTGCACTGATCTGCTCCATGATAGATCTCAAAGTTATCCCAAAGTCTGCTAACGTAAATACCACTTTAGGAAAGTTTACAAAATACACAGCTTCGATATTAGTGTTGGTTGGCATCCTCATAAATCTTTACTAGAGCAATCCGGTGGCGTAGATTTTATCATGGGACTAAAGATAAAATATTTTTTATTTATGCCATTTCTTGTACTGTTCACAACACAACAAAATATCAAATACGCCTGTTTCGATGGTACCAAAGATGCCATTTTACCGTCGCCTGCATTGAAGAAAGTGACAGCACAGGGCGCTTTAAGTTGTGCATTAGAATGTTCACAAACGGATGGATGCCGTTCCTGGAACTACTTCAAAACAAGGAACATAGGTAAGGGTCATATACAATATTGTATTATTGCTGATGTTTTGTAAAACTCGAGTAATATTTTTATTACAGTGACAGGAAACAGTCCTTTTATCAACTTCTACATGAAGGATGAACATAGCAAAGGAATTTGTTTATTGAAGGAAACATTTTATAAATACATTTCCAGGATTCAGAATTCTGAATTCGTGCATTTAACGAACATTACAGATTTAATAAGGCAATAGTTAGGTTCTCCTAATCAGACGCAATTGTTTCAATTGAATGCCATTGTGGCATGTTGTCAAAATTCAGTCTTGTTGTTTTTACAGAAAATTGTGAACTGAATACCCTCAAGGCTATCAACACTGACATACTAGTGCGTCATGAAGGTGGAATGTATTATGAGGATGCTAAGGTAAGTATATACATTTAAACTACGTTTATTTTTTTAATCTTTGATGCAGCATCATCAACATATAAGTCCGTTATATTATTTCTTCAAAGAAAGATACGTTTTCAATCAATACAGATAAAAGCACAAATCAATAGGATGGTTAGAAAGGTTAAAGCAATGAATTTTTTTCTGACTGAATATATATAACCTCTTTACATTCGTGTAATCTTTCTGCCATATTTCAGGAAGAAATGGACTGCAATAATCTAGGTAAGTTTTATAGAATTTTATTTTTTTGTGTGTATATATCTGTAACAAAATATAGAAACGGCTTTTAATTATAATTTGTTTTCTTTGTCTGTATCCATACACATCTCTGTCGTCATGGTTGACGGGGTTGTTGGTTAATTTTGGCAAGTATTGAATGGTGTCGTAAAAAAAAAAAAAACGGAACAGTGCAGATTTTGCTGTGTTTGATGACTATTTTACTTAAAACTAATAAATAGTCCTTAATAGAGAGGTGTCTGTTACCTACCCCAAACGTTTCATATTAAATCTAAATGTTGCACACTGTGTTGATTGCCTGCAAAGTTTTAAAACGCAATCGCTAATCATCGTGCTCGACCGTCTACACACTTATGGACACCGCAACTAATTTTTTTTTTGTTTTAATAGATGGGTCAGGAATATTCCATATCAATATAAAAGGATTTGGAACAAAGGAAGTTTATTGTGACAGCGGATGGCTTGTTGTGATGAGAAGATATGACAACACAATGAACTTTAACAGAAACTGGGCTGAATATAAGCATGGTTTTGGGGATCCCCGCCTACAGTTCTGGATGGGCAATGAGGCCCTTCATGCGTTAACCAATCAAGGAAATTACTCCATGCTGGTTGATATGTTGTCCTGCAACGGCAATTATTACTACGTCAAATGGAACGAGTTTAGAATACAGAATGAGACAATGAAATATGCTGTAGACGCCCTTTCTCTTGAGTCCTACAACACAACTAGCGTGTTTAAACTTGATGAAATCTTTGGACGTCCTTTTGGAACCACTGACAACATGAAAACCACCTCTTATCTTAACATTTCGAAAACGTGTGCTGAGCAACACGGTAGGCAATATTTATAATTGAGAAAAGAATAAAATTCCAATATAGGGATTCACTGGCTAGAGGGTAGTATATGATAAAATATCGCTTTCTAATTGAAATACCGCAATAAAGGTTGAGAACATAATACAATTAACGAATATGACTGAAGTCGACTTCATTTTTCTGATATCTGCAAAACATCATTGACCTAATCCCAAAAGTCAATGAAAGTTACATTATTATGTTATGATACCCAGAGGTCGGTTTCCTCAAGATAAAATTTAAACTTGTCATCTGATAGATAAATTGCCTCTTGTCACAAAATATAAAAAATCAGCGATTCGATAATTTGTTTATATTATGTTTAGTGATGAAGACATTGAGCAATAGTGATTTTATCACATTTCACATTTATATATATATATATATATATATATATATATATATATATATATATATATATATATATATGTGTATATATATTTCAGGTGGGGGCTGGTGGTTTGCAAGATGCACGTACAATCACCCAACTGGATATTATCCTGATTGCAATAACCCAGGTGTCGTTAGTGAAAGGAAAAGCAAAATGAAATTCGCGGCTATCACAGGATATAACTGTGACTTTGGGTGCCTGCTGCAAGCCGCTACGGTGAAATTACGGCCAAATAATTAGTTGTGTGAAGTTCACATGGATAATGCGGAAATCGAAAAAGAAACTTTCATCTGTAATAAGGATGATGAAAAACAAATTTGTTAAGGGACACAAGGGTACATTTAATTGAAGAACGCAACAGGTGGACCGAGAGCATGTTAAACTTAAGAGCATTTTTTGTTCACCACAATGATCATGATGCATTATACACTTATATCATAGACATGGAGGGTACAAACGTAAATATCCAGACATCGCAACACGCACATTACCACACGGAGTCCGTAGGTACGCCCGCATATATATCCCTTAGCGTGCTGACGGAGGCGGCCGCTGTGCAAAGTTGTAATGTCCTAGTACCATCTACATTTTTTCATGCTTTTNGGAGAAGCGGTAACGGTAACTTGTAGGCGGAGCCGGCGGAACGATCCGGTCGGGACTAAAACCATGTGTACCGCCAGCGCTAACGCTGGTGGTACAATAAAATTTCGTCCTTGAGATTAACGACCATCAATAATCAAAAATTTTGATTGTGGCCGATTGGTGTGCACTTCTTCCATCATTTTGACAGACGAATATTTTCCTCTCACCTGGGAGATGAAACGACGAACATGGGACGTTATTTTGAACTGGTAATATCTCTCTGCTATCCCTCCCGGTCAAAAACGCGCCATTAGCTTTTCTGTCAATAGTGTGTTTGACCATGGCATAATCGATCTAGATGGGTAGTATTCAGACGTCACACAGCAAGATATGATCTTAATTTATGTAACCTGTTTAGAATACAGAATGAGACAATGAAATATGCTGTAGACGCCCTTACCTTTGAGTCCTACAACACAACTAGCGTGTTTAGACTTGAGGAAATCTTTGGACGTCCTTTTGGAACCATTGACAACATGGATACCCCCTCTTACATTAACATTTCGGAAACGTGTGCTGAGCAACACGGTAGGCAATATTTATAATTGAGAAAAGAATAAAATTCCAATATAGTGATTCACTGGCTAGAGGGTATTATAACACTGATACAGTGTATGACAGCATGAAAGTGCATAAGAAATAGCTGTCTAATTAAACTACTGCATTAAAAACTGAGAGCATAATACAATTAACGAATTTGGCTGAAGTCGACTTTTTCTGATATCTGCAAAACAACATTGTCCTAACTCCAAAAGTCAATAAATATAACATTATTATGTTATGATAATAATACCCAGAGGTCGGTTTCCTCAAGATAAAATTTAAACTTGTCATCTGATAGATAAATTGTCTCTTGTCAAAAAAAAAAAAGCGTTTAGATTATTTGTTTATATTATGTTTAGTGATGAAGACATTGAGCAATAGTGATTTTATCACATTTCACTTTTATATATATTTCAGGTGGGGGCTGGTGGTTTGGAAGGTGCATTAGCAATCACCTAACTGGATATTATCCTGATTGCAGTAACACAGGTGACAATGATGAAAGGAAAGGCAAAATGAAATTCACGGCTATCACAGGATATAACTGTAACTTTGGGTGCCTGCTGCAAGCCGCTACGATGAAATTACGGCGAAATAATTAGATATGTAAAGTTCACACGGATAATGCGGAAATCGAAAAAGAAACTTTCGTCTATAATAAGGATGATGAAAAACAAATTTGTCAAGGGACATAAGGGTATATTTAATTGAAGAACGCAACAGGTGAACCGAGAGCATGTTAAATTTAAGAACATTTTTTGTTCACCACAATGATCATGATGCATTATACACTTATATCATAGACATGGAGGGTACAAACGTAAATATCCAGACATCGCAACACGCACATTACCACACGGAGTCCGTAGGTACGCCCGCATATATATCCCTTAGCGTGCTGAGGGAGGCGGCCGCTGTGCAAAGTTGTAATGTCCTAGTACCATCTACATTTTTTCGTGCTTTTACTGTTAGAAATGCTTGCAAAACCTAGGGCTGCAGGCTGTAGCAAACTGGCACAGTACCACAACATTTGGCGTTGCATAGATCACGTACAAGTATTGTTCAATGGATTACAGTCATCGTTATAATAGCTGTAGCTGCTGTTGATCTCTTAACCTTTCACATATGGTGATTCTATGAGACATATTAATTTATGACGATAAAAGTGTAATTTAATTGTATGAATTTGGTGTGTGTTTCTTTATTCTAGCCACGTAGGAGAAGCATTATTGCATAATTAGATGCAGAAATAACCTTATATGCGGCATCTGGATGATAATAAATGTTTACTATAGGCCTATCCTGAATGCAAGCTATGTTTGATTTGTTACACGCGCATGGGCTCTTTTGTCTAACAATGTCTTTTCATATTATTTATATTTATCAATTTTTCGCATAACTGATTGATTTTACGGAAATACAGAGTTAACGAAATGAGATATATTTAATGCTTTAGCTGTTATTTGTGCGTTAATGAATTTAATCATTGTCATCCCCTTGTAAAAATGAGAGAACTGATCTAGGGCCCCTTAATTTGATTGATTGTTTTACGTTTTAATGTATTTGTTATCTGACATTGCACACATTTAAAAACATTTTCGACAAAGATAAATTTGCAACCCATAAATAGGTTAATACAAAGACGAAAGGCAGAGTCAGTTGAAATGGCTAACTGATGCAAATAAAAACCATTGATGCATATCAAGTATCAAGGTAAAATTCCATCATAGTAATTAAAAATCAAAATTTCAAGATAAGAAATTGGAAGTTTTAAATGCTAGCTTTTAAAACTTTTTGCACTCGTTATTAAATAATCCATTGATATTTTAATTTTGATTTTGGTCTTTTGAATGTCTCAGATACACGTATTAATATTTGGCAGTTTATATTCATTTTAGAAGGTTATACATGCTATGATTAGGGCCATTACTTATTTTTGTGGACAACTTTTTGCGTGTATTGAACCGTGTCACGTTTCAGGCGTTNATATCAAGTATCAAGGTAAAATTCCATCATAGTAATTAAAAATCAAAATTTCAAGATAAGAAATTGAAGTTTTAAATGCTAGCTTTTAAAACTTTTTGCACTCGTTATTAAATAATCCATTAATATTTTAATTTTGATTTTGGTCTTTTGAATGTCTCAGATACACGTATTAATATTTGGCAGTTTATATTCATTTTAGAAGGTTATACATGCTATGATTAGGGCCATTACTTATTTTTGTGGACAACTTTTTGCGTGTATTGAACCGTGTCACGTTTCAGGCGTTATAGTAAATAAATTTACTTACTTGCTTTTATATGTGATTTTTATCTACTTGCATTTTCTGTGTGAGGTCATTAGAGGTATAGACTCAAAGGAGAGTCCATTAAGTTCGTTTATCTTCGGTATGTAGAGCAACGGACTCAGGCACCGTCCTTGAGGTACCGCACTATTGGTGAATTTTCCCTTTTTACTTGATTTAACCAAGTTGTACAGGTGTATATACTTTATTGCCTCCTTTTGGTGAGACAGGCAGAAATACAGGAAACAACCGCTTCAAGCGACCCCGAAGGCCTGAAATTTGTTTAAAAGATTGCTTAATTAATTGGAATAAAATCTACTTTGCATTCCCCATGAAAAAACCATATGACTAATATTAGTTATGTCCTTAAATCAGGCAAGATCTGTAATGGAACCTAGGCCCCACGTCGCCCACACTCGTTGCTTTGATAATTGTGGTTCCCAATCATCATTAAACGGCATCTGATAAACCTTTGTAACTGGCAAAACTTTTATTTGCATTATTTATTTGCACTTTCAAAAATGATTGATTTTACGGTAGAACAAATTGAAAGAAATGACAAATTTTGAATATGCAATCAATTGTGCCCGCCTGTTTTGATCCCTTTGGGAATAAAGAGATAGCTTAGCTGAGACCACCTTAGTTGATTGGTGACATGAAAATCATGTTTTAATAAATTTGTTATCAATCATTACCGAATGAACGTTTCAGTCCCATTGGCTTACAGTGCCGCAGAGTCCTATCGCAGAGTCCTATAGGGTACACTATAGTTATATCGCAAACTTTTTTCTGATGAGAGATGCTTTCATATATGTTTCCATTAAACTTTGAATGAAATCATTGTAAATATGTTTAACATCATTTTAGCGCACAACATATTAAAGGCACATAAGGGTTATCCATCAGAAATCTCGGATAAATTTTCAGAATGTACCAAAATCGTCTTTTTGAAATCAGGATACCGCCAAGAAATACGTTATTTTAATTTTCCAATATTCCCTTCCACTAAACAAAGTGTTAGATCAACTACAGCGTCCTCCACTTCCTCCAGGCAATGTGTTAGTTGAGCTTTATCATATGCGTTTAAACGTTCTCTACTTCAACGTGTCACTGTGCTAGATGAGCTCCATTTTTACGAGGCAGCGTGTCACAGGTGGTGACTCTCAAGCAAACAACAAGGAAAACAGCCCAAAAGCAATTATGCTCCAAGTGAAAGGAGCATTTTAGTTCAACTCTGAATTTACAGAGAAAAAGGATTGATATGGAAAAATTGCTTTAGTTGCTTAGTCGGTTAATTTAATTGAATCCCTGCACAAGCAAAATTGTAACCAAGTCCAGGTCAAAAACCTTGGGAAAGGCTAAATTATAGACTCAGCAGCGGCAGCCACAGCAACATGACCCTCAAAATGAGCAAAAGCATTCAGACCCAGACACTTGCGAATAATTGTGTCAATCCCATCATGTGGATTAATCTGAAGCTAGTTGTGATCTGATACTTTAGTCTGTCAGGTACAGGGGTTCATCGCTACCAATAGGGTGACCAAAGTTCATCGGTACCATGTGAAAGTTAATTTAGTTTAACAGTTAATGGTAAATAGGGGTCATTGATTAAAAAGCTTTGACCAAATGATATCTGGTTCTACAATTTTTATAGACTTTATTTAATGGAGTAAGATAAACAAATATTGAAGACCGCTATTCACAGTAAAATGTGCCAAATTTTTTCAAGTCGTCAGTAAAAAGCATATCTCGTTGTCCGTTGGGAAAATGTGTACCTTCTAACCAATAGAAAACCTATATTGCCACTTATAAGGTAATTTGACCTTGACATTGGTGTTTTTGGAGTGATTGGCTTGTGTGCTTAGTGATTGGCTTGTGTGCAAAGTTTCATTTTGTCCAAGTGCTTGGTGCAATTCAATGCATTGTTTTCTGTTGCTGATCGAAAAGTATATTGTGATTCCATAATACATGTAGGTTGACATGTCTGATATAATATTTGGATCACGAGTGAAAAAATAATTTATTTAATGCTTAATGTACTGTCGGTAGGGTGTATTTTCCTCGTTTTTTAAACATTCAGTGACAAGCAAACTAAAGTCGCTCAAAAACAATGAACTGATCTATACAAAATGTTATCACATCTTTTACCTTAAATGGTGCTGGAGAGTTCGTTCCTTAATGTAGGATAACAAATGTATTAAAACATGATATAATCAATCACCTTAATGGTCTTTGCTGAGTTCTCTTATTTTACCAAGGGGATATAAACAAGTGAAATCCATTAAAGCACAAATTACTGTACGCACAAAGCATCCAATTTCATTTAACTTTGTGTTCCCGTAAAATCGATCATCTTTAGACATATAAGGCAGTAACATAAATATCAATTCCGCGACCAACACATCAATTCAATGTGTAACAAAAGTAATCATATTCTGTTTGAAGTTGGAATATTTTAAGAATGGAACAACTGCGCTTTTCTAAGCAGATAAAACATTGAGGTCCAATAATTAATTTATATCATGATAAAACAAAATTTTATATGCTATATATTTATTAAAATAAATAGATAGATAAATAAATAAATATAAATAATATAACCAGATATTATAAGACAACAGAACCCATGTACGTTTAACAGATTAAACATAGCCGGCATTAATTGCTTCTACAGCGACTGCTAATGCGATAAAATATAAAATACATAATGCAGGTAATAAAAGCTCTGGGGAAAGCATGAGAAGATATCAAAACATCAAAAACGATAGATAAAAGTAACCATACGGACCCCTTTCAGTGTCAGTACAGTTGTCGTACACCCTCCTTGCTGCTTCCTTGAATAGCAAAGCGTTGGCGGCACAGCCGTCCATGTGATTTAGCACCCAAGTTGTGAGAATAAGGAAACATGCAACAAAATTAAGTCAAGTTAATTAAACTTAAATCTTCATAAATTGTAACGCCTTATAAATCATCAAATGTGAAAGGGAAAGAGTTCAACACAGGTTCAACTATTTTAAGCCTCGGTCACAACCGGCCGTGCGGGCTCTTACGGGCTGTTTGCTTCTAAATTTTGAGCAGAATCTCACGTCCCACGCAAGTCCTTCTTACGTAATTTTGAGTTCGCAGACAGCCCGTAAGCACGTACGGAGGATGTTGTATGGTGACCATTTTTCAAAATATTTAAAAACTCGATGGCACCCCGTCGCTGGACGCTCGAAGAATGCGGATGCATGTAAACTGTCATATTTAGTTGTCCAGTTTCTGTCACATGTATTTTGTAGACATTTCTTCGATTTTTGTTCAATTTACTAGTGTTAAACTTTGAGTGTCTGCACTAATAGCTGATATATATATTAGATTGCTTTTAAAATCCTTTTACTTTTTTAATTTGAAGCTAAATCACATGAACGAAGGTGGTAGTTTTTACTTTTACGTTTTTTCCTGGCCATTTCTTTTTAAAGTGCTGGAGACAAATATCACATTTATTGACATGTGTTCAGAAATATACATCTCTATATTTCTTTTTTGCTCTTTTTATTCTAATTTTATCTTTTTATTGAAATTTCTTTATAAATTTGATGCTCAGCCAATGCTAATTCTTTCAATATCGACAATACTTTTTCATTTGAAGTTTATTCAGTCTAAATGAATGCATGTATCACCTTAGAATAATTGATTGCGTTATTAACGTATTATATTCATATTTCAGAACTACAATCTAATTCGCTGACGTCAGAAGGCACGAGACTGATGGAACAACGCCTAGCCTTCAGTCCGTATTAAGGAACTGGACACACTCATGCAAACGAGCGCACACGTACATACAGTTATAACATACAGTTGAACAGTTTTATGAACTGGTGAACTGGCCCCTGATCTTGTTGTGATTTTAGGATTACATATTGGTTCTCGTAGTTGAATTTTTTTTTTTGCTGATATAATTCATAAGCTATGTACCTTAGGTATCAATCATAATTCATTTTAATTGTTCCAAACAACGAGTTCGGACGAATCCGATTCTATTAAAACCCTTTCGGCTACTCAAACTATCTACACGATGAATTAAACGTCGGGGATAAAGGTGTGTTTTTTTCACCACATAGTTGGTCTAATCTCTGGTAAGATCATTATTTAAAGTCGATTAGCTATCACATGATATTTTTTTCTTAATTGACATTGTAGAATTGCATTTGTTAATTTTAAGTGTTTATAACGCTGTAATCGTAAACTAGCGAGTGACGAACTATTTCACCCGAATAAATTTACATTTCTTTTTGGAGTTTTCAATTTCTAAACAACCCAGAGACGATTATAAAAGTGGTGGTTATATATACAAGCTTTTTAAAATATATGTAATCTAGAAAACACATAAAAATTTTGCAAATTGTCAAATGATATCTTTGCCCAAATTTTGTCCACGTATTGAGTTCACTGTTTGCAGTGCCTTATGTCGCACATTAAGATTGTGAATGTTTTAACTACCGATTGTTATTAAAAAAAGATATAGTATTTAATTTCAGTTTCGCCCTGGTCTATCTTATTAACAGTGCTAAAACATGACGGCTAATTTAAACAAGAAATTAAGATATGCTGTATATTTTTTTCAATTTATCATACAGCATACTTTGATAAATCCCATTCTTTTTATAACAAAACCCTCCATTTTTTATTTTTGCCTTCATCCTTGTACGCATACTCCATGGATATTCTAACATCACTTGTGAAACAACGTTTGAATCTGAAACCAAAATCGGTAAGAAAGACCAACATTTTGAAACAGTGCACCAGGTTTCCAAAATTCAGTATCGTTAATTTACTTAATTTTCATGAATTTTCGCCAAGCTTGCATGTGCTGGTATGTATTGCGTTCGAATGGTCCTTTTCATGTGCAAAAAAATCCAATTTTCTGATGTGTGTATCTTGCTATGAAAATATTTGCGTTTCTACTGAATAAAATAAAATATGCATTAAACTGTTTTTACATGCAATTTATTAAAACTTGGGTTCAGGTTAATTATCATGCATATGCACGTACAAATCTGTTTGCAATTGATACTTTTAAAATATATTTGATTCTGCAATCCTTTATTTCAAATCTTAATAAATTGTGTTATAGTAAAGCACGTAGTGTTTTTTGTTTTTGTCCAACCCGTGTCGAGGTGGGACAAGTCTGTTTTATTTTAAGGGGTTACAAGAGGGGCGGGTCCATTTTACTCTAGGGGTGACAGGTGGGGAGAGTCCATTTCATTTGAGGGGTGACAGGTAGGGAGAGTCCATTTCGTTCAAGGGGTGACAGGTGGGGAGAGTCCATT